CAGCCCAGCCCAGCCCAACCCAACCCAGCCCAGCCCAGCCCAGCCCAGCCCAGCCCAGCCCAGCCCAGCCCAGCCCAGCCCAGCCCAGCCCAGCCAGCCCAGCCAGCCCAGCCAGCCCAGCCCACCCCATCAGCTTTGAAGAGGAAGCCGCTGAGAACGTTTCGCTCAAAACGGTCAAAACTTATTGGCGCCCAAGCCCTTAAAACAATTCTATAAACCCTTGTGGAACCCTTGACCATCCTTTCGACGAAGCGCTCTTCAGAGACTAAAAGCTCGGGATTTGGAATGGAAGTTTCGGGATTGGGATTGGGAATGTTTCGGGATTCTGTTTTTCTTAAGCCCTGAACCCTGAACCCTAAAAGCCCAAGGAGGGCTTTTAGTAGCGCTACAGTTGTTTTGCAGGGGGGCTTCAGGGGACTTTGGGGACTTTGGGACTGGGGGTTCCAATTCCTTTCGTTGGGTGCTCGCTGGTGTGTGCACACCCATGCCGCTCGCACCTGTGCGTATTGTGCGTAGCACACAGCCCACTGCAAGACCACCCTGAGTTCAAACATATTAGGGTTTCGTTCTGAAGTCGTCTAGGCATCCCAGCGGGGGCTTTGGCATCGCCGACGATGGTCGTTATCTTCAACGGGGCCCAAGCAGAATCGAAGTCGGCTTGTTGTGAGTCTGTCCCTTTCTGGGTTGGGCTTTCTGTGAGACTGTGCTGGCGGGTTCTCATGTGAACTTTTTGGAAGGCTGTCCTGGCGGGTGCCGGAGGAAGCGGTTGGGCTTTCTGTGGGGCTCTGCTGGCGGAGTTGTGAGGCGAAAGGCAGCAATGCATGTGGGCTTTCTATGAGTCTGTCCCTTTCTGGATTGGCTTTCTGTGAGGCTGTGCTGGCGGGTTCTGATGTGGGATTTCTGTAAGGCTATCTTGGCGGGTGCCGGAAGAAATCGTTGGATTTCTGTGAGGCTGCCGAAATGGGGGGATCCCCGAGATCGGCTACCCTTGTCAGGAAGGGCGCCGGCTCCAACTCGTGAAGGGTGAAGGGGACAGGCTGCTCCAACTCGTGAAGGGTTGGGGTCCAACCCTTGTCAAAAAGAAAGCAGGCTCCAACTCGTGAAGGGTTGGGAGGGTGCAACCGTCGTCAAAAGGGCAGGATATGCCGGCTCCAACGCGTGAAAGGTTGAGGACGCTTGGGCGGCGCCCCAAAATGGTATATTTTGCAATGGCGAATTTCATGATTGTGGGCCGCTGTTGCCAGCCGTTCCAACTCATGAAGGGTTTGGGGTCCAACCTTTGTCAAGCAGGGGCCGGCGCCAACTCGTGAAGGGTTGGGTGGTCCAACTCGTGAAGGGCTGGGGGGTTGCAACCCGCGTCCAGAAGCCAGCCTGCCTGGAAATTGTGTCCAACCCTTGTCAAGAAGTGGGTCGGCTGCAACTCGTGACGGGTTGGGGGGCGCAACCCTTGTCGACAGGACGGTTTAGGATTTCTACTTTCCCCAATTCGTGGGAGGCACCCGAGGGGCCGGCAGGCATGGTGCCAGTCAGTTTTACGTAGGCTCCGGGTACGCGTTTTGTGCCGCTCGCAAAGCTCGGGCCGCTTCGGTTGTCGAGCCCTCAGCGTTTTGGGGCTTAGGGAGAAGAGTGTCGTGCTCGTAGATAGTAGTATGACAAATCCCAAAAGCGTTTGGTCTGATCCAAGCAACGGATGTTGGTTCGCAAGCTGCAAGAGCCCAACAGCGACATGAATCCTACCGCCTACATCCCATTTTTGGGGTTTAGTGCACCACACCTCCCCCAAAGAAAAACACTCAATAATCGAATCTCGTGGCCCTTTTATTGCAGCCTCAAGCACTGCTGCAATAAGTCAAATGGAGTCCTGTGCTGTTGTTGGGAGTGTTGTGTTTTTCAGGTCCCGTGGGGTTCCTCAGAACGAGCTTTCGGCCTTTTGGGGTTTCTGCTCCTTTTTCTGAGAGGTTCGACAATATAGCTTGTTTTCGTACCTAAATTGCATCAACTCCTGGCAGGCGTCGTCTTGACCGTCGCAAGCAGCCCGATGTGGATCAGTGTGAGCCCCTGCCACCAAACCGGCCTGAGCTCAAAAATCCAAAGCCCTCAAGCTATGAACCTCAGCTCAACCGAACTTGGCTGATCAAGGCAGACATTCGGCAGGTTATCATAACCTACCCATGATATCCCCACTTCTAATCCTACCTGTCACTTACTTACCATCCGTGGCCTGAACCCTATGTACGCCGCAACCTACTCATATTTAGCCACCGAAACAATGAATCTCAAGACATGAATCTTTGGAATACAAAATATTCAATAGATAATATTATAGATCTATCATCTACCTTATTTGATATATATATAGATAGAAATATCATTACAACCGATTTATAATTACTTGATTGAAATACTTCAATATAAGACTTATCTTTAGATAAAATATTTATTTTTAGAATTCTGTAAAAATAATAATTCTCATATATAATTTTCTTGAATTTTAGTTAAATTTTATGAGATGACGAATCTATATTTTCGAAAATAATTTCAAATTAGGTCGATACTATGATTATTAAATTATAGGATGCCGATATTAATCATATTATTGATTGAAACTGAAGATTTCTGTTAATTATTATTTTTAGCTCGAAATTAGAATATATGTAAAATAAAAAAAAAAGAACAGATTTTTATAATATTGGATAATAT